TTCTTTCTCCATTTTTGGGAAGAGTTTGAGCAAGATAGGTTTTAGTTTGTCTTTGAAAGTTTGGTAGAATATACTTGTGATTCCATCTGGCATTGGTCTTGGTATTTTTTTTTTTTGGGAGAATTTTGATTACTGTTTCAATTTCCTTGCTTGTGATTGAAATAAAAACTTTATTTACAAACAAAACAAGATGAGGAAATTTATGCTAGTTAAGGTCTGAATTATTATTAAAATTTCCTCTTGAAATGAAACAGTATCAGAGCAGGTAGTTGCTTTGGCCTATGGGCCCAGACTTCTTTCTGCTCTTGGGTTTGACAATTATTTGTATTTTTTCATCTGTCTGCACAATGTTGCACTGTACTTATTAGGTCTATCTATGAACACACATGTCCTTTCCTTTAGGAAATTTACAATCTAATAGGAAAGTATTCAATACCTAACAAAGTTAGCATGTAGGATTTGACAGAATCATTTAGTAACTTTTTCAGTGACTTTAAGAATACATTAAACTCACCAATTTGAGAGGGTTAGCAGAGACCTATCAGTGCCCACTTTTTCGTCAGTGCCCACATCAGTGCTCACTTTTTCTTCAGGTCTGGACTATCTATTCCTGAAAGGATAGCAGTCTGTATGCTTACTGTTGCTTTCCCTAACACTCTGTACCTGCTTCGCAGATTTTTTTTTTTAAAGATTTATTTATTTATGCATCAGACCTGGGGTACAGGCCAGAGGCTCAGGGCAGTGAGAGGATTCACCAGAGACAGAGTGGGGAGCAGAACAGGCAGATTGATAAAGTACACTGCTGAGGGGAGCAGCACATGGGTTGGGAGAGGTCTGCCTCACCATGTGGATCACCTCCTGGCAGGGATTGAACTCATGCTGAAGTGGCTTTAGCTTCTCAGTGCTGTGCTTTAACCTTCTGCACTACCAGGGAGGACCCACAACACAGATTTTTAATAAATATTTGCAAAATTATTATATCTACATTTATTTGGGGCCTGTCTCCTTTGTGTCTCCTTAACATGTTCTTATGTTCCACTATATTCAGAGTTAGGGTTTTTGCCTCTAAGGGAATCCCATCTTTTTTCTTGTGAACAAGAACTTTATTTTGCTTCATTAGGGTATTTTTTACAATTAATATTTTGGATATAGTTATATTAATATTTTGGATTTACTTTTTTTTTAAGATTTATTTATTTGTACATATAGAACTGAGGCTCAGGGGTGGCGAGAGGTTTCACCAGAGACAGAGCGGGGAGCAGAACAGGCAGATCGATGAAGTACACTGCTGAGGGGAGCAGCGGGCGGGTCAGGAGGTCTCCCGCGCCATGTGGTCACCTCCGGGGCAAGCGGGAATCGAACTCATGCGGAAGTGGCTTTAGCTTCTCAGTGCTGTGCTTTAACCTGCTGCGCCACCAGGGAGGGCCTAGAAAACTTACTTTTAATAGAATCATATCTATTACAAAGTTTATTTTCTCTTGAACATCTTTGCTGTGTTCATAATTGTGCACCATGCCTTCCTTTGAAACTTTTCTGTCTTAATTTCAGCAGTTGTGTTCTACCTGTGAGAATGTGGTAGCTTGGTCATTTAAAACCTTTTGTTGTGGCCCTCCCTGGTGGCACAGCGGTTAAAGCACAGCACTGAGAGGCTAGAGCCACTTCCTCATGAGTTCGATTCCCGCCATCTCCGGAGGTGACCACATGGCGTGGCAGACCTCTCTTGGCCCGCCTGCTGCTCCCCTCAGCAGTGTACTTCGTCGATCTGCCTGTTCTGCGCCCCACTCTGTCCCTGGTGAGGCCTCGCGCTGTCCCTGAGCCTCTGGCCTGTATCCCAATTCTGTATGAACAAATAAATAAATCTTTAAAAAAAAAAAAAAAACAACAAAAAACCTTTTGTTGTAATAGAGATAATTTACCGTGAACTGTTAACTAGGTATTTATTTGTTAACTAGATTTCTGAAAACAGAAGGATTCTCAAGTATCAGGGAGGTAACAATAGTAGATACAATCCCTAAGCTGGTAAGTAAAGGTTAAAAGGATTAGAATAACTAAAATTGCCCTCTTTAAAGAGGGGCCACGTGAAGTTGATCTTAGGCTTTAGTGAGTAGATTACTGCTCATTTGATGCTTGTTACCCTGTGTGCAGTGAAGAACCTCATAATTTGTGCTTTTCTGGCTGGTGGCTCTGTGTGTGGAGCATATGCAGTGAGGTTTGTTTTGCCATAACTGCCGCAAAATGAATTGAGCTGTTGTCACAGGAAAGAGTGGTTACTGTTGGGGTGAGTACAATTTCCCTGAAATGACATTTCAGGAGCAGGAAGCCAATAGGAGAAAGTCTTTTTTTTCCCACTCCATCTTTGCCGTTAATGTTTAGCACCTCCTATTGGCAGAAACAGCAAAGCAGAAAAAGCAGTTTACACTCCACCACAACATCACAAAGGAAAGTATAGAAGACTTAACTACCTTAGTAACTGGAATAATCAGAGAGTAAAGGAAATCAGTACTAGGTATAGTGCCAGTAGTGCAAAATTACATGATTATATAGCTTTTGAACTGCTGATATTAGCATTAAATAGAAACAAATCTTATGGACAGTTGAAAAGCAGGAATGCTCAAGGTAGAAATCAGGCACAAGGAAAGTAAAGACAATTCAGCATGTTTATAATTGTATATAAGTTACAAATATGGAGAAATGGCACAAGTATACCCTTTCACTAAGTTGATAATTTGGGATAGTAAAAGTAGGCTTAAAAGTTAATGTAGGGCCCTCCCTGGTGGTGCAGTGCGTTAAAGCGCAGCACTGCAAAGCTGGCCTCAACTGCTTCAGCATGAGTTCAGTCCCCAGTCAGGGAGGTGACCCACATAGTGCAACAGACCTCTTCTGTCCCTCCTGCTGCTCCCCTCAGCAGTGTATTTTGTCAGTTTGCCTGTTCTGCTCTCCACTCTGTTTCAGGTGAGTCATTTTGCTCCTGGCACCTCTGGCCTGTACCTCAGTTCGATATGCATAAATAAATAAATTAAAAAATATTTTTGTTCATAGACTTTAATATTTTAGAGCAGTTTAGATGTTTTTATTAAAAAAGAAAAGCATAGATAATGTCCACATATACTTATACCTGTCTCCCCCTATAGTGTACAATTATTGTCTTACATTAATGGGTATATTTGTCTCAGTTGATGAATCAGTACTGATACTTTTTTTAAAGATTTATTTATTTGCGCATACAGAACTGGGGTAGAGGCCAGAGGCACAGGTGCCATGAGAGGATTCACCAGAGACAGAGTGGGGAGCAGAACAGGCCGACTGTCGAAGTACACTGCTGAGGGGAGCAGCGGTCGGGTCAGGAGAGGTCTGCCGCACCATGTGGGTCACCTCTGGGGTGGGGATTAATTCATGCTGAAGTGGCTTTAGTTTCTTAGTGCTGTGCTGTAACCCGCTGTGCTACCAGGGAGGACCCAATACTGATACTTTTTTTTTTTTTAAGATTTATTTATTCATACAGAACTGGGGTACAGGCCAGAGATGTGGAGGGTGAGAGGATTCACCGGAGACAGAGTAGGGAGCAGAACAGGCAGATCAGTGAAGTACACTGCTGAGGGGAGCAGCGGGAGGGCCAGGAGAGGTCTGCCTCACCATGTGGATCTCCTCTGGGGCATGCAGGGATCGAACTCATGAGGAAGTGGCTTAAGCTTCTCAGTGCTGCGCTTTAACCCTCTGCGCCACCAGGGAGGGCCCATTGATACATTTTTATAAGCTAAAATCCCACCATTTGTATTAGGGTTCACTCTTTATTTGTACATTCTGTAGATTTTAAGTTCCCCTTAGCCCATCAATCATTTTTTAAAAGATTTATTTATTTATGCATAAAGAACTGGAGTGCAGGCCAGAGGCATATGGACAGTAAGAGGATTCACCAGACACAGAGTGGGGAGCAGAATAGGCAGACTGATGAAGGACACTGCTGAGGGGAAGAGTGGGCAAGACAGGAGAGATCTGCTGCTCTGTGTGGTTCACCTCTGGGGCTGGAGATTGAATTCACACTGAAGCGGCTGTCTAGCTTGCAGTGCTGTGCTTTAGCCCACTTTGCCACCAGGGAGGGGCTCTCAATCATTTTTTAAATGGTCCTAATTGATTGATTTCTAACTTTCATCGTCTAATTGATTGATTTCTGACTTTCTTTGTTTGGATGTAGACATTCACCTGGGAAATTTTCTGTAATGCTTTTCCTTGATCTGTCATTCTATGTAGTTTTCTCCAGACTCATCACTGATCCTAAAATAGTTTCCTAATATATATATATATATTTTTTTTTTAAAGATTTATTTACTTATTCCTACAGAACTGGGGTACAGGTCAGAGATGCGGAGGGTAAGAAGATTCACCAGGGACAGAGCGGGGCGCAGAACAGGCAGATCAACGAAGTACACTGCTGAGGGGAGCAGTGGGCGGGTCAGGAGAGGTCTGCCTCGCCATGTGGATCTCCTCCAGGGCAGGCGGGAATCGAACTCATGCGGAAGTGGCTTAAAGCTTCTTAGTGCTGTGCTTTAACCGGCTGCTCCACCAGGGAGGGCCTCCTAATATTTTTTAAAGCTATAAATGATTTTCTTGGTGTTCTGACTCAAAATCTTGATACATCTGACTTCACAAAGATACATATCTATTGTGTCACTAAATTCTTTTTGATTATGGCTTCTCTGTTTTTCAGGTTCCTCTTCCTCTGTTGTATTCTAAATCTACATTTCCTTTCTCATTTCTTTGCTGCAGCAGACTCTCCTGCTTGCTAAAGTCCTGTGTCAGTAGGAAAAAAGGCTAGGTGTAGTTGTGCAGGAAATGGTCCTCTGTCTTAGGGATTAAACTAGCTTGTTACTGCTGCTGGAAAAGAAACTGAAAACATAATTCAGATAGATTTGTTGCCCTACTACAAAAAGCGAATAATCCATTTTTTTCTTTCTTCGTGTGCCATCATATTGAAATTATTTTTTAAATCTGTTTCCTTTCAGCATAATGGGAGTTTTGAGTAACAAGTGTGGCTTTCAACTCCAGTACCAAATGATTTTTTCAATATGGCTCCTGGCATTCAGTCCTCAAATGTGTGAACACCTGAAACGTTATAATATCATTCCTGTTTTGTCTGATATCCTTCAAGAATCTGTCAAAGAGAAAGTGACAAGAATCATTCTTGCAGCATTCCGTGTAAGTATTTTGTAGCTTTAAAAAAAATGTCTCCGTATAGTTATAAAACTTGAACATGTTGTAAAACATTACTAATCCGTGTTTATGACATGGGGGAGTGGAACAGGGGTGAAGAATTAATTTAACTGGATGAAATATGTGAGTGATAGAATGCTTGCAAGCAAATATATTATGCTTAAAAAAAAGGAAACCCCTTTTTGTTATAGCGTGTTCCAACAGACTGTAATTGAAATTTTTCTCTAAAGGGGCTTTATTTTGTATCTGGTCGCCTTATATTTCTGAAGCAACTTTAAAAGAGGTGTTATTATTTTGAACAGTGAAGTTACCCTACTAGGATATTAGGATTTTGGTGGTTATCAAAGTCAGCTTCCTCCATTGAATAGGTGAGGAAGTTGAAGACAGGATGGGTTGGCGGATCCATGCTAGAATATAAATCCTAAGACTTCTGGCTGCTGGGCTTTGTGACACAGAAATATTGTTAGGAGCCTCCCTGGTGGCACAAGAGGTTAAATCTCAGCACTATGAAGTTATTAGCAGCCACTACAACATGAGTTTGATCCCCAACCAGGGCTGCTTCCCTCAACAGTGTATTTCAGTCAATCTCCCTGTTCTGCTCCCCACTGTCTCCGTGTTCTGGTAAATCCACTCACATACCCCCTGTCCCTGACCCTGCACCTCTGGCCTACACACCAGTTCTTGTATGCATAAATAAATTTAAAAAATCTTAAAAATATTTAATATTGTTGTTTTGTTATACAAAGTCAATGGATTTGCTGCTGTAATTATCTGTTGGTGGCATTAGAATTTGTATGGCTTCTAAGGGCATTAGAATTTGTATGGCTGACCATTCTTAGTGTCTACTAAGAATGTTGTTCAAGAGTAGGAATGGTGTTCACACCTCATTTAATGCTTGCTGTATGCTATGCATCCTTCCAAGGCTTTCCATTTGATAATTTATTTAATGCTCACCACAGTCTGAAGATGTGACAGTTGTTGTTTTGTTAGTGCATTGGTCATTAGTAATGGTTGATCTCCTTTTTTTACAAATGTGGTTACTGAGACAGCACATTGTTAGCAGGTGGTAGACATGCAAATCCAAATTATTGGCTTCAGAATCTGTGCTTCTCACAGATTTCTGTTCTTACGCTTTCTTTAAATAAACAACAATGAAAAACATAGTACAGCTGTATTGCAAAATTTAAATAGCTTAGACATCACATTTGTCAGATATAGTCACTAACATCTTTTGGATTTTTATAAATACAGAGAAAAATGTGTAAGTAGATGCGTCATTTTGTTTTGTATTTAAGAATTAAAGTGGCACCATATTAATACTGTTCTATAATTTTATCCTAAGCAGTATGCAGTGACTGTTTTCATTTTCACTTACATAGCTCTTAAGGATTCTTTTTTTTTTTTTTTTTTTTAAAGATTTCTTTATTTATACATACAGAACTGGGGTATGGGCCACAGGTGCAGGGGCAGTGAGAGGATTCACCAGAGACTGAGTGGGGAGCAAAACAGGCAGATTGACCTGATACAATGCTGAGGGGAGCAGCAGGTGGGTCAGGAGAGGTCTGCTGCGCCATGTGGATCACCTGTTTGGGGGGGTGGGAGGGATTGAACTCGAATGCATGCTGAAGTGGCTTTAGCTTCCTAATGCTGTGCTTTAACAGCTGTGCCACCAGGGAGTGCCCCAGGATTCTTTTTAATGGCTGTATTCCACTGGGTTAATATAAAGTGGTTTATTTTAACCAGTGTCCTATTGATGAATGTGTAGGGCTATTTCTAGGTTTTTTTATTGATTGACTGGAGACAGCTGACTCCTTTACTGAATGGATAGGAATTGCAGGGGGCACACTCAGGAGCTGTTGATGGTGTGGGAGCTATTCATTTTCACTGGTTTCCGGCAGGGCAGGATGGCAGGCATGTGCAGTTAGGGTGGCTCTTGCTTATGAGTGCTGCTGAGGGTGGCCTCTGTGTTCTTGTTAACAGTGGTCTGCAAGTAGGAGGTGACAGGCTTTTGCTGCCCGTGAGATCTTATGATCTCACTATACCTCTGCCATCAGCCACCTGCCCACATCTGATGGTGGATCAGCCAGTTGTAGCAGAATGAGTTGTGGGCCTTGAGATTGGGTTTGGTGCTATACCTGTTCTTGTTCCTCTAGCTGAGGAAAGGGCAGTTCCAGCTGTTATCCAGGGCAGATGTGGTAGTATGCATATCCAATGTGCAGCCATGGTAGTGGCTTCTCTTTCTGTGGTGGCTTGAGATAGAAAGAACAGTTTTTTTTTCCCACATATATTTTAGTGATCTTTAGACTATTAAATTATTTGAAAAGTAATCATTTCAAAATTGTATTGTTAATGAATTAACAGCATTTAAAAAATAATTTCATCAGCCATTTTTTTCTATCCAATAAAATGCTTATTCATATCATTAGTCTCCTTTTAAACCTAAACATTTGACATATAGGATCTCTTTTTTGAATGTTTATAGTTAGTGACAACAATAATAATAGCTAATATTTATTGAGTGCTTATTTTGTGTTAGATATTGTTCTAATTTTAAATGCTATGCATTTAATTTTCTGGTTGCACTAGGCCACCAGAAATAATTTGCCAAAATAGCGAGGAAGTGGTAGAGGAATTCAGACTCAGTTGGATGACTCATGCTTGCTAATCACCTTGCTAATCTCTCTTTAATGCTGAGACTAAGATGTTATAATTTACTGAATGGTTTTTATGCATTGCCATATTTAATCTTCATGATTGCACAATAGTTTCTATTATTTTTTATGGTTGAGTAAATCAAGACTTAGTGTTTCTATGATTTTTTATGATTGAGTAAATCAAGACTTGGTGATTAATTTCACAGTTAGTAGGTGATAGGATTGGAATTTCAGTGAGGTCTTTTCTCCGCAACCATCCCTTCAAAGGAGTCAGCTTGTCCTTTGAAGGTTTACTAGCTATGGTCCTGTAAACAGACTGGGAGAGGTATGTTGTCAGCACACTGAGATATCTGCAAAGGAATTCAGTTATGGACATTAAACTAATTACCACCTAGGGGATCTGTATTATGGGAATAAACCTCTGCTTCCAGAGCTGGTAATAAAATGTTCTAACATATATGAGGCTAATGGTGATGATGCCACACAGAATGCTAAGAAAATTGGACTGCTACCAGAAGGTAGATAATGAAAAATAAGAGCACATTTCAGGATGCTCAAAGCAAAACCAGGAGGACTAGCATAAAGGAGAAAAAGTAGAAAATAACACTTGACAGGAATTTATAGACTTTGAAACTCAAAGTGTATTTTGATACATCTTCAGGAAAGTACATCTTAATAAGTATTGCTGCAGGAGCTTTCCACTGTAGATTTTTTCTTTTTATTGAAAATTGGTATTTAAAGTGAAATGGTGACTTATAATTGGGAAATTGATATTTGGAAGCATTTTACTCTTTAGTTTGCTTCACAGATTGGTGACATACTTTGTTTTGTCACTTGTTGACAAGTGATTGTTTTATGAACTATTTTTTTTTTAAAGATTTATTTATTTGTGCATACAGAACTGGGGTACAGGACAGAGGCTCAGGGGCGGTGAGAGGCTTCACCAGAGACAGAGTGGGGAGAAGAACAGGCAGATCGACGAAGTACACTGCTGAGGGGAGCAGCGGGCGGGTCAGGAGAGGTCTGCTGCGCCATGTGGTCACCTCTGGGGCTGGCGGGAATCGAACTCATGTGGAAGCGGCTTTAGATTCTCAGTGCTGTGCTTTAACCCGCTGCACCACCAGGGAGGGCCCTGTTTTATGAACTTTTTATAAAGAAATGTATACTTTAAGTAAATATATTGTACTATGAGCTTTTGGGGTGATTTCCAACTGTGCTTGTATAGCAAGTGTATTTTGTTCAATTAAGATGTAAGTGAAGGGTAACTGCCGATGTGATGGACATGACAAGTGAATTAGAAATAGAGCCTAAATATGTAACTGAATTGCTTCAATCTCCTGATGAAACTTGAATAATGGAGAGTTGCAAAGAAAGTGGCATGTATGCTTTTTGTGAAGATGCTGTGAACATTGACAACCAAAGTATTAGAGTATTATATAAATTTAATTAATGAGGCAATGGCAGGGACTGAGGGGATTGACACCAATTTTGAAGGAAATTTTATTGTGGGTAAAATGCTAACATTATTGGATGCTACAAAGAAATCTTTCATGAAAGTGTCAGTTGATGGGACAAACTTCACTGTTGTTTTATTTTAAAAACTTGCCACAGACACACCAACCTACAGTGAACACAACACTGATCAGTCAGCAACTAACACCAGCAAAAAGAGTACAGATTGTTGAAAACTCAGGTGATATTAGCATATTTTTAGCAATAACTTATTTCTAAATTAAGTTGGATACTTATCCGACTGAGTGCAATGTAAACATAATATACATGGACTGAGAAACAAAGTAATTTGTATGTCTCACTTTATGGCTCTATTTGCTTCCTTGTGGTTATCTGGAGCTGAACTTGGACTATCTCCAAGTAATGCCCATACTATATGCTGGCTGGCGCATGAGGAAGAGTAATTTGCTATTGTAAAAATGTATTACATCGTTACAACTCAGTATCTACTTTTCTTGTCTGTGACTGTCTAATGGAAAGTCTTTATTTTATTAAACCTTTCTATTCCAAATGAAACACCTTACATTTAAGAAAATGCAAATAGTTTGATCTTACATATAAAAATAGTGCTGTCTTGTGGTTAAGAATAAGATCCTATAGAAAACATTTATGCGTGCTATGATATATGTGTTATATGATAATACACTTAGAAAAAAGCAGATGTGATGTGAGATAAATATGAGCACATAGCAGGCTTATAGTAAGTATTTGTGACTGTAGGAGAGATTGAACCAAAATACTGAAATAGGGTAGTGGCATTGATTTTACTGATATTTTTATTGGCTTCTATATTGACTAGTTAAATTTGTTTTAAAATTTTGACTGTTTTGTTTGGTTCTTCTATTTTAAAGCATGATGATAATAACATTCTATGATGAATATATTGGCTTGGCATTACTTTTAAATTGAGAATAAACTCATTTCCAAGTCTTCTACATCTAGGTTTCATGAGTATGTTAAGATAAATGTTATAATTAGAAATTTATTAAAATAATCCACTCAACAAAACACATTGCAAAAATCAATTCCAAAGGGACAGAGCCCTGATTTTCTGTTTGCCCAGTTTCTGTTTGGAAACTGTTCTAAACTTGACATGAAAACTCTTTTCCAAAAATGAGGTATATTATATATATGCTCAACTATTAGGAAAGAGTAATCTTTCACTCAGTGTTTTTGCAGTTAGATTAACCTAGAAAGGTCTTGGATGATATTATTATTTGTTGCTATTATTTCCATGACTTTGATTTTTGGGAACTAAAACATCATTGTTTGCCAGAGTAATTAATATGGAAGCAATAGTATTATAAATACTTTCCTCTTTATGTTAGTTATGTTTTCAGTTTTTATTTTTCTAAATGCTGAAGATAAATATTTTTTTCTTTTGTTAATTTGTTGATAGGGTAACTTTTTGCTTTAGGTAAAATACAGGTGTGGGAAAAAGAGCTGTTAAAAGTCAGGATCTTAAAGCTAACAAACTATAAATTGAAAACATTTATGGGGGGTGAGGAAAAGGATCAAAATGAGAGTGAAGAAAATAAAAGTCTGTGGTGATGGTTCATGGGTGTCTTGGTGGTGGGAATTTTATGGGAACAACTGCGAAGAGAAATCAAACATTGTAAAAAAGTAAACAGTGAAGGAAGGAAGGAGGGAAAGAGATTTGTTTTTACTGTTTCGTTGCTTCAGACTGTATCTCAACATTTGATTAAATAATGTGAAATCAGATTCTAGTAATTTTGAGTAGTGGGTTGGGATTTAATCTAAAGCTCATCATAAGCAGTTATACACATAAGGTGTATGGTTAGCTGTTCTGTTTGAGCCTTCTGCAAACCTTCTTATTTTGTTGTTGTCCAGTTCCTATTTCTGCATTGGAAGCAGGTATCTCTAATATTGTTATAAAGGTGTTAGTTGGTGTTAGTTTAAAATTCTTTCCTCCTTTTTATCCCTCCCTCTTTTCTCTTCATTATCTGTTCTCTCCCAACCCCTCTTTCATTCATGGATTATCTCTTCACTGGTATGTCAGTGCATCTCATGTTTACTGAAGACTATGTAACAGTGTGCTCCTTAGAGTATGCAAGGACAAATAAGACAGGATAGTTTTTCTTAGTGTTTTTTAGTCATTATTTTCACTTTTCTTTAATTATTTTTTATTGTGGTAACATTGGTTTACATTGTTGTTTGTATTTTTTTTTTTTAAGATTTATTTGTGCATACTGAACTGGGGTACAGGCTAGAGGTACAGGGGTGGTGAGAGGATTCACCAGAGACAGAACGAGGAGCAGAACAGGCAGATCTACAAAGTACACTGCTGAGGGGAGCAGTGGGTGGGCCAGGAGAGGTCTGCTGCACCATGTAGTCACCTCCCGGGCAGGTGGGAATCGAACTCATGTGGAAGTGGTTTTACATTCTCAGTGCTGTGCTTTAACCCACTGTGCCACCAGGGAGGGCCTGTTGTTTGTATTTTGAAAGTATAGGATCTCTCCCTACCAGTAATGTCACTATAGCATTCCTACCACCAGAGCAATCATAGTTCAGCACCCTTGTCTATAATCCTCCCTTCCTTCTTGTGTACTCTCCTCCCATCTTCTCTTCCTCTGAATATCTCAGTTCTATAGTCTTCTTTCAAGGACTAGTTATGGAGTTTGGCTATTTCTGATCCTTTGCCTGCTTTCTGTATATTCCACATGTAAGTAACACTACTTGGTGTTTGTCTTTCACTTTCTGACTTACTTTCCCTAGCAAAATCTTTCCAGCACCATTCATGTTTGTGTACTGTTTAAATATGTGTCTTTGATGGCATGACTTCAAAAAGTCATCTTGAAGGATATTTACAAAATATAAAGCCCAAAAGTCACAAGACTTGACAGAACTAAGCTGAGATGCTCAGTTTTTCTGTTTACCTGATTTAGATTGATTATTTTTTAAATTATTATTACTATTTTTTAAAGCGAGGATTCACCAGAGAAAGAGTGGGGAGCAGAACTGACAAGTACACTGCTGAGGGGAGCAGCAGGGATGGGTCAGGAGAGGCCTGCCACACCATGTGGTCACCTCCAGGGCCAGGATTGAACTCATGCTGAAGTGGCTTTAGCTTCTTAGTGATGTGCTTTAACCCGCTGTGCCATCAGGGATGGCCTAGATTGATTATTTTTAATGGAATTTGAAAAGTAAAATAATTTATATCTTATTTTCCTTTCAGTGTGGTGTTTTAGAGTGTAGGCATTTATAAGGTGTGAATTCCAGTACTAGATTCTTAGGAGAGTAGTTTGAATTTTAGAGTTATTTTCTCCATTTCTGAAAGGTAGGTAGTAACTTTAACTCTTTTCTATATTGAGTTTAAGGATTGAGTAAGATAACAGATGAAGTGACTAATAATAGTACACATCCAAAGTGTATTTATCTCCTGGTTTTCCCCCCTCCCTTTAAATTTCCTACCTTACAGAGTTGCATTCTTTTTAAGTTAATGTTGAACCTAGGCAAAGATCCACTGCTGCTCTGTTTGATTTAAAAGAGGAAGTGTGAATATTTTAGCAAAATTTATAAATTTTGTTTAAACTTTCTTTGTAGTTTAAAATTTTGCCTTCAATGCATGGAACTTATGCCGATTTCTGGGTTTATAATGTCTAATTTGGATTTCAGATTATTTAAAGTAGATCCATTGCGTCGACAGGAAGATTTGTTTTTTGGACTCCCCTGTTTTTTGGGATAATATGAGTGAATATGCTAAAGGCTAAAGGTCAGAAGAACATCTTTAGATATCTACAACTTTGATGTACACAACTGAATTGAAACTAATAATTATAAAGGCATTTGATTTAGGTTGTTAACCTGTTCATCAAAAATGAAGAATGATATTTCCTATTTTACTTTGGCATTCTAAATTTTCATAGCCTTTAAGAAAGATTTAATTGATGAGTTTGTTTGAGAATAGTCTACTTATGTATATTCCTTCAACTTCCTGAAACTCAGGAGGAAATTTTTTTGTGCTGCGGATGTTAGGAATTCTAACTGAGCTGCTGTAAGATGAAGAAATATAGCAGCTACTGTTATTTTTTCTCCCATTTGACTGGCAGGTGCTGACCTCAAGGCCTCTGCAAAAGTTATTTTATTGGTTACATTGACCTGTCAGTCTTTAGTTCCTAAAATTAATTAGTATGTTTTGAGGATGACTAAGACATTGAAGATCATATTTGTTGTCTAGAATTTTAAATGTTGTGAATTTTATTTCTGTTTGATTCTTGAGTGCCTACATAATGTACATATCCTAAGGTAAACTACATTTCTTTAGTTGCAACATTTTTGTCAGAATAACTTAGGGAAAAATATCACCAAATTGAATTTGAATTTTCATTAGATTAAAATTGATATTGTGTTTAACTCACTCTCCCATACATGTATATTCAAACACAGACTTGGTCCTACATACATTTTCCTGTGAAGATAGTTTATAGTCATAATCCTTCCATGGAGGCCAGCTCTACTTTGAGTGTAGGGAGCTGATTTTTTTGAGGTTTTTTTAAAAAGATTTATTTTTGCATACGGACCTGGGGTACAGGCCAGAGGTGCAGGGGTGGCGAGAGAATCCATCAAAGACAGAGTGGGGAGCAGAACAGGCAGATCAACGAAGTACACTGCTGAGGGGAGCAGTGGGCAAGACAGGAGAGTTCTGCTGTGCCATGGCCTGGGATCGAACTCGAACTCGAACTGAAGGGACTGTGGCTAGCTTGTAGTGCTGTGTCCTTACCCTTTGCACCACCAGGGAGGACCCTTTTTGGCATTTTCATAGTTTTACAAACAGAAAAATCACAGCAGAATAATCAGAAATTTGCCTGAATGTCATAGAACTTTTTGATATGGGATAGAAGCTCATGGAAAAAAATTAAGGATTTGCAATGTTGTTGTTCATTTAAATGTGATATTTAACATATCAATAGAAGAGAAGGGTGTAAGAGGAAGTACAGAGGGCTAAGAACAGCACATAACTAATGATATGGTTCCTCATTATGTCTCTGTTTAACTCAGAACTTTTTAGAAAAATCAACTGAAAGAGAAACTCGCCAAGAATATGCTCTGGCTATGATTCAGTGCAAAGTTCTGAAACAGTTGGAGAATTTGGAACAGCAGAAGTATGATGATGAGGATATCAGTGAAGATATAAAATTTCTTTTGGAAAAGCTTGGTGAGAGTGTCCAGGATCTTAGGTATGTTATCCTTTCTACTTATAAGACTGAGTGTATTAGGCTTCATTTCAGTGGCCTAGTATTTAGAAAATTCTAATTTATTACTATCTATAAATTCAAAAGATTTTATTCAAACATTGTATCCTCTGTTATAGACTGAAGGATATCACTATGGCACCAGTCAGCCAGAGCTTGTGTGTTATTTCTTTTGGGAAGATTCCCATCATTTTCTGTTTTAAATCGGACTGGCAGTTCTTCACAGGATGTTAGCACCTTCCTGAAGCCCCTGGATAATCTTCCCCTTGGTTAGGAATTGTTTTAAGCAACAATGGTTCTTAATTTGTTTGTGGAGGTTTGCCCAGATATGGAAAGAATATTTTTTTTCTTGCTTATTTGAAGGTCTTATTGTTATTTTTTTATATTAAAAAGTTATACAAATAATGTTTATGCAGTAAAGAAAAGAACATCTTACAGAGTACAGATGGGACTCCATGTCATTCTTGCATCTTCCTGGCACACGTGCACACACCCATCTAGATGGAGTTCTACATAATCTTCTGAACCTTATTTTTTGTTGTTTTATAATACCTTGAAATCTTTCCCATTGACACACACAGTCTTAGCTTTTGAGTACTGATGCATTTTAAAAGAGAGTTAATCTTTAGAAATAGATCTTTCTTTGCAGGTGGGTTTGGGAGCCAGGTGGACTCCTGTTTGAATTATTTGACTACTTTCTCTGTGTGCCCTTGAACAAACTTCTGGACTTTTTAATGTCTTTTAGTTTTCCTTTTGGCAAAATAACAATAAAAATTATAACTTTTTAGGTTTAGTTCTGAGGTTTCAAATGGCCAGTAAATATCTCATGGTGGTATGTATTCAGAAATGTAATTACCAGATAATTCAATGCAGCCGGTAATTGGAAGGCTCAGAAGCTTTTATAAGATGGAGGTATCATCCATATCAGTGGCTTATAATGGAGTTTTATGAAGATAATCATGATTTTCATCTTTCTATGAATTCAAATATGAGTAAGTTAATGGTAATGTTATAAGCATCCAGAACAAAGTTTTTGTAAATTCTATTTACTTTATAATAGGTATCATTAGCTTTGTTAATATTACAGAAAAAATAAAGAAAATGAAGTTATTATAAAATATTTTTAAGTCAGATTGATAGTAAGCTTTCTAAATTAATCTGTGTTAACCAATTATTACTTTTTTTCATGTCGAATGTAGTAATTTGTAAAGTATTGCTGTTCACATAAAGATAATAGGGTGAAGCCTTCAGTTAAAAGAAATGTGTATGTTTTTGCTATTATAGGTTTAAGATATAAAGAAATGTTAAAAGATATTTTAAAATACTAGCTTCTCATGTGAATAGGCTATATAGCAAAGCAAATTGCTACTTTATGCAACAGGATACTCTGATCAACTTAACCAGCAAATCCTAGTTATATTGAGTTACCAATCAGTTTTTAAATGGCCATTCCTTTTTAAGATTTTTCATTTGAAAGAAGTACATGCATGCCTTATATCTATATACTAACTAGTGCCACTAACAACTTTTAATGGAGTTTTGAATTAATTGAATGATTTCTGAATTAAAGTATGTTACATTGTGTTGTATGTACATAGGACTTAATCTATTTGCATTAATTCAGCTAATGAATTAACCCTACTATATTGGTAATCATACTGTAAAATATTGTATCAGTGCTTATATTTTCTTTTTGTAATGCAGTATATTAATATTATAAGTACTCTACCACTTTATTTATGTTAAAGTAATATAATTTTTTATAAATTTACATTATATATATTTAGTGATTTGGTAAATACAGTATTTTAAGTCACTTGGTATAGAACTTTTGCTATATTATGTGATAATCTATTGTTACATATTAACACATACATGAGGGTAAGGATTTTACAAATCACATGGTCTTCTCAACACCTCACGATGAACATTCATGTTAGATAGGAGAATTGGACCTTAATACCGTCAATAAATTTCATGTTTTTTTATAAAGTTATTTAAGCTGTTTAACATTTGTTTATTTATTATTAGTAGTTTGCTAATGTACAAAGGATGACCAGTTTTTGTAGGTAAGTTATCGTGGATATATTGTACTTAAATTTAGAATAACTAAGGTTCTCATAAACTTTTAATTTTTTTAATAGCTCATTTGATGAATACAGCTCAGAACTTAAATCTGGAAGATTGGAATGGAGTCCTGTGCACAAATCTGAGAAATTTTGGAGAGAAAATGCTGTGAGGTTAAATGAGAAGAATTATGAGCTTTTAAAGTAAGTTTTAAATTCTCCTTTGTACTCTTAATACTTGTTCCACATCCTCATCAACATGTTTTTATCACTATTATAAAAATTTTAGATAACTTTAATTTGTTTTTTCTTGCTCAGTAATGTGAATGAGTAGCTTTTCATAGACATTTTAGTTACTGTCATATCTTTCTTCCAGGAGAGGTGCCTGTTCAAACATTTTTTTTTTTTACGTTTTATAGGCATTCTTTATGTATTCTGAACATGAGTTAATGGTCATGTCTGTTTACCACAGGTATTTTCTCCTATTCTGTCTGTCACATACTGTTTAATTTTAATGTATCTCAATTTATTAATCTTTCCTTTTATGGCCACTAGTTTTTAGTATCCTATGCAGGAAGTTTTTGCCCATCCAAAGTTATAAAAATATATTTCTGTGTTATTTGATGGAAGATTTTTATTGTTTAACATCTCACTTATATCTCCATTCCATTTCGAATTAGTTTGGGGATAAAGCAGGGATCAAGATTGTTTTTCATGACAACTCTTTAATTGAACGAGCATCATTTATTGAAAATAACATTTTCCCCACTGCATTGTCTAAAACTGTTTCTGTTTAAATGAGATATCAGTCACATGCCACATAATTCTCCCATTTAAAATGTTCAAGTCAGTGGCTAAAGAGCAATGTTGCTGGTGTGATTGACAAGTTGATTATTTACTTTAATGAAATTTCAATCAAGTTAAATAGCTCATGTTGTTAGTGACTTCAGTTTGAGTCTGGTTTCCAAAAACACAGATAGAAACAGTTGTGTGTTGCAAATCAGGTTGCCAGTAAACTGACCTCACTGTCAGCGTGCTTTTGGTTTTCTCAAATTATTTATCTTTGTTTTTATGACTTTCCACTTCAGGACATGTTACTTTTGTATAATTCTGCATGTTGTTCTTTCCTTTGGGTTTTGAAAACTTGAATGTGATGGAGGGAGGATTTTTACAAATTACTATTCAAGTATTATATATATATTTATTATGTTATGTCTCAAGAGCTTTCTGAAATACATTTGTGATTTCTGGCATGTGGTTTTAAATTTTATGGTTCCTTCAAGTTACTCCCTTTATCTTTTTATGACCCTTCATGATTTTTCTTAATAATTAGAAGCAATGGCATGCAAAATTTTAGATTTATTTCATGCTTATGTGATGGGAAATTTAAAGTTAAAAAATTTTTTATTTATGTTTACAGAACTGGGGTACAAGAAAGAGGTATGGGGGTTGAGAGGATTACCAGAGAAAGAGTGAGGAGCAGAACAGGCAGATTGACAAAGTACACTGCTGAGGGGAGCAGCAGGTGGGTCAGGGGAGGTCTAACATGCCATGTGGGTCAGCTCCTTGGCCGGGGATTGAACTCGTGCTGCAGTGGCTTTGCAAAGCTTCATAATGCTGTACTTTAACCCATTGCACCACCAGGGAGAGCCCGCTAACTGCTTTTTAAACACGTTTGTTGAGATAATATTGGTTTACAACACTATATGTTTTAGTAATAAAGGTTTTCATACCTCCAAAAGTATGTTACCATAACAAGTTCACCACCAAAGTACCAAATCTACTATATGGTCGATTGGATTTCTGCTCCATGTTGCTCTCATTACCCCTCAACCCCCCGGCCCTTCTGGTAACTTCAGTACTGCAGTTCTGAGGGTTCGTTTTAGGTTGGCTTTGTCTGCTCATTTGCTTTGTTTTTATATTCCACATATGAGTGAAATTATCAAGTATTTGTCTTTCTCTTGATTTATATCCTTTAGCTTAATCTCCTCCAGTTCCATATAAGTCGCTACAAATGACAAGGTTTTGTTTTCATTTTTATATGAGTAGAATTTGATTGTGTATACATAATACATATTGTATTTTATTTTTTACATCATTCTTCATTTTATGTATTTTTCCATCTCAGTTGTAATCCCCATGGGCTTCCCACCACCAGTTCACCCGTGTGTCATCACCATAGTCCAGTGCACTCTTCCCACCACATACTGTATTTTCTTTATCCACTTATCTGCCCTTGACACTTAGTTTATGTAGCTTGGCTATTGTAAACAATGTTACAGTGTGAATTAGAGTTTTTGTGTTCTTGGCTGTAGATACTTTGGAGAGAGTTTGTTGGATCATGAAATACATCTTTTTTAAAAAAGATTTATTTATGCATACAGAAGTAGGGTACAGGCCAGAGGTGTAGGGAGGTGAGAGGATTCACCAGAGACAGAGTGGGGAGCAGAACAGGCCAAATGACAAAGTACACTGCTCAGGGGTGCGGTGGGCGGGCCAGGAGAGGTTTACCATGCCATCTGGATCACCTCTGGGGCAGGGATTGAACTCTTAGTGCTGTGCTTTAACCCGCTGTGCCACCAACGAGGGCCCAAGAAATACATCTATTTTTAATGATTTGAGAAGTCTGTACACTGTTTTCCATGTGACTGAATCAGTCTGTACTAACACCATCAGTGGACAAGGGTTTACATTTTCCATTCCCTTACCAAGACAGGTTGGTTTTGGTCTTAAGTGACAGAGGACTTTCTTACAGGTGTGAGAGAATATCTCATTGTGGCTTGCATTCCCTAATGATAACTGGTGATCTTGAGTATATTTTCAAGTGTCTGTTTGTCTTTTTTAGACAAGTGTCTATTTAGGACTTTTGCCCATATTTTGATTCAGTTATTGCTTGCTTTTAGTTGAGTTGTATGAGTTGTTTGCAGGTTTTGGATATTAGTCCCTTGTTGGGTATGGGAATGTAAACATTTTCTATTTTGTAAGTTGTCTTTTTACTTTAATGATAGTTTTTTTTTGTTGTTGTGCAGTAACTTTTTAATTTGATACAGTCTGACTTGCTTATGTTTGCCTTTATTTTCCTGCCAATATAGTCAGGTCCTGAAAGATCCCTGAAGGCAATGCTGTGGAGTGTTTTCTTTTATGTATATCTTAATGGCTTTTGACTTTTAGTCAATTCTTTAATCCATTTGAATAATATTTTTTTTGGATAGTATGAGATAAAGGTCATTTCATTTTTTTGTTTGCATATGGCTGTCCAGTATTCCTGACCTCATTTGTTGAACAGACTTTCCTTTCTTCATTGAATGTTCATAGCTCCTTTTGTCATAATGAATTGTTTATACAATTTGGGTTTATTTCTGGAGTTTCAATCCTATTTCCTTTTATAGGCATCTTTTTATACCAATACCATATAAGTTTGATTATTGCTGCTTTGTCATATAATTTGGAGTCTGGAAATGTAACACCCTTATTTACCTTTTTCCTTAGAATTGCTTTAGCTGTGGGATCTTTTTGTGATTCCATACAAATTATAATTTTTTCTGTATTTCATTGAAGAAAGCTATTAAAATTTTGATAAGGGATGTATTAAATATGTATATTGCTTCAAGTAAGATATCTGTTCTAAAGATGTTACTTCTTCCAATCCATGGGCATATGCTATCTTCCCATTTCCTTTTTTTAAAATATTTTTAACTAGGTTAGCATTTTTTTTTTTAAAGATTTATTTATTTGTTCATACAGAACTGGGGTACAGGCCAGAGGCTCAGGGGTGGCGAGAGGCTTCACCAGAGACAGAGTGGGGAGCAGAACAGGCAGATCTAAGAAGTACACTGCTGAGGGGAGCAGCGGGCGGGTCAGGAGAGGTCTGCCACGCCATGTGGTCACCTCCAGGGCAGGCGGGAATCGAACTCATGCAGAAGTGGCTTTAGCTTCTCAGTGCTGTGCTTTAACCCGCTGCGCCACCAGCGAGGGCCGGTTAGCATTTTTTTTTAATATTTTCATTGTTCAGGTCTTTTCCTTTCCTTGTTAAGTTTATTCCTAGATACTTATTTACTTTTAATGTAATAATAAATGGGATTGTTCTCATTTTGTCTCTTCTAGTTCATTGTATGCATGTAGGAATATAATAGACTTTTGTATATTGATTTACTGCTACTTTATTACACTTATATTTATCATTTCTAGTAATTTTCTTATGTAGTCTTCAGAGTTTTTTGTATATTATGTAATATTTTAAAAGTTATACTTGTTAAGGGACGGGGTGAGAAAATAATAATAATGATAATGAGCAGTTATATACCAGAGACATTTTATGGGGTTGGAATGGGGAATGAGATCAAAAACAGTGGGGCGTGGGAAATGCACTGGACTTTGGTGATGGCACATGGGTGATTTGGTGATGGGAAGCCCAAGGGGATTATAACTGAGATGGAAAAATGCACAAAATGATGGAAAAATAAACTATTGAAAAAAAGGGGGGGGAAAAAAGTTATACTTGTACTTCATTCCCAATTTGGATTCCTTGTGTTCCTTTCTTTTGCTTAATTGCTATAGTCAGCACCTTCAATACTGTGGGGTGAATAGTAGTGGTGGAAGTTGACATCCATATCTCAGGCCCAATCTTAGGGGAAGGCTTTTAGTTTTTCACTGTGTGATGTTAGATATTGATTTGTTATAGATAATATTTATTATGTTTAGGTATGTTCTGTACCCTTTTTATTGGTTATTTTAATCACTCATGGACACTGGATATTGTCAGAAACATTCTCTGCATCTATTAATGTGACCGAATATTTGCCTTTCTTTTTGTTGATGTGGTGAATAACATTATCTGTTTACATATGTTGCATCCCAAGGAGAAAATCTGACTTGGTGATGGTATATAATCTTTTAACCTGTGTGAATTCATTTGCACAGAATTTGTTGAAGATATTTACCTGAGTGCTCATCAGGATTTTGATTTCTAGTTTTCTTTTTTAATGATGTTTTGCCTTCTTTTAGGATCAGAATAATGTTGGCTGGCAAAATGTGTTTGGAAGTTCTCATTTTGTTATAAAGAATTTGAGAAGGAATGAGTATTAATTTGTTTTTTGAAGTTTTGGTAGAATTCACTATTAAAACTATGTTATTATGGGCTTTTCTTTTACAGGATATTTTGACTGCTGTTAGAGTTTCCTTGCTTGTATTTGGTCTGTTCAAAT